CCGCACCTGGCTTGCCTAGTGGTGGGAGGAAAGAGGCCTGTGGGACCCCAAGCTCAGCGTGCCCATGGCAGGGGAGGAACCAGAAAAATGGATCTTTCCAGTTCCTGATGCTAAAAGAGCCCTATGGATGCCAGGGTCCTCTAACTGCAGCCCCCAGCCATAGCCCAGCAGCCCCAGTCACAGACTGGAAGCCCCTTGCCAACAGTCCAGACATTACTAGCGTGGCGCCGCAGCGGAGTGGGGTGTGTGTGTGTGTGTGTGTGTGTGTGTGTGTGTGTGTCTGGCAGGCATGCTACAGACATCAAATCACTGCTGCCGAGGCTGCCCTCCACACATACTTGGAAGTAATATGGTTCAGGGGGGCGACTCCTGAGGCAAGGCTCCCATGGCAGCTGATGCACAGCCAGGCAAGGAAGCCATTCCTGAAAGCCCAAGCACCCAGTACCCGAGCTGCAGGGCATTGTGGGCCGGGGCCCTGAGGAGGCTCCAGGACAAGCATCTCCCCAGAGGCTGTGTGGAAGGAGGGGAGGAACCCTTGGCTAGAGGCCAGGTGAAGGATGTTGGGGTCTTTGCAGGCCAAGACCAGGCTGAGGGACACCTGCCCCCTGCACCCCATGCATGAATTTTGTGCACCAGGCCTCTAGTTTCATAATAAGAGAGACTTTTCCAGTTAAATGGCTTATCCGTGTACAATGAAAGCTGATGAAAGAGTCCTTTGGGTCTTTCTTGTTTTGTTGGGAGGTGGCCTTTCATAGGCTGGTGGTCAGATGCTCAGGACACATGCAATTAGACCTTTGACTGGAAGAGTTGGTGATTCTCATCGAATTTCATAGGTATCACGGAACCCACATGGAGCCACCACTTTAATATATAACTATTGCTATCAATGGGAGGATGCATTTTCCTTCCTACTTCAAAAATTTTCTTTAGGCCCTGGCTGCTATGGGTCAGTTGGTTGGAACATCATTCCATGTACTGAAGGGTCAGAGGTTTTGATTCCTGGTCAGGGCACAAAACCAGGTGGTAATTTGATCCCTGGTCAGCACATAAATGGGAGGTAACTGATTGATGTTTCTCCCTCGCATCAATATTTTTCTCTCTCCCTCTCCTTTCCTTTCTTTCTCTCAAATCAATGCAAACAAAACCCAAAAACTTTCAAACATAACTATTTTTCATAGGAAGAAAGGAAAGAACTTACTTTTCCTTAGCACCATGGATAATGAGAATCATAAGAGTGCCGATTCCCTCATCAAATTCAATATTCATAGCTAATAGCATGACCCACATAGGGATTCTATACATGTAGACAGAGCAATATCAACCTCTCTATTAATTTCATCAGTATCATGGAATCCACACTAACTGCTAGCCTGGGCTATTTATATTAATGAGAGAAATGGAACATTTTCACTTCAAGTCATCTAACTCTGCCAGATGAGAACCCACGAAAACATTCCATGTGAATAAAGTGGGCCCACTATCACTGAAGCACTTGGTTAATCTGCATTACAATCAGTCATGAGCCAAAAATCATTGCTCTACTATAGCTATGGCCAATAACAATAAAGGGAAACCAACTGTTGAGCTGATGTCCCCACTCTCCCTCATCAGAAAGCTGTTTGATTTAGTAGGACCAAACTCCCCTCTGTCTTCTCTCTTTCCTTATTCTAAGAATAGGCATGAAAAAAAATCTCAGGTTAAACTAAACTCTGGAGAAAGTATGTCACACAGATTTGTAATCAAGCCACCCAAATTCATGAAATTGATCCATGAAAAAGGGCTTCATCATTCATCCCCCGGGGTTGACAATGTTGAAAAAGAGGCTACTGTGTCTCGCTGGGTACAGTTACTCAGCCCTTGGATTAGTCATGAGCAGTAAATAACCACCCACAATTTCTCTTCTGCATCATCTTCCTTCTGCATATCTCTTTTAATAAAGAGTGAACTGGGAAGTAATTGAAAGAGGATATAAAGGAATAAAAAAACAAACAGGGCAGATCAACTGATTTCCCTTTGTCTCCTTTTAGCACAGTGTGGGGAATAAATGAAATAAAAGTAAGTGATTGTAAATTGTGTCTGGATGACTATGCAAGTCTCTCAGTAGTGGCAGGGGGTTGAGACCCCCTGGTTCTTAACCCTGCCTGGACACTACCTCTTTGTGTAACAGATAAGCAAATCCTCAAACAATAGGGGCAAGGTCACAAACTACACCTAGAAGAGGTCTCCTAAATCCAAGCTCTCCTTCCACATACAGCACTAATGCGGTGGCCTGGTTACTTTGGGTCCCAAATAGTGGGGTGTTTAGGACCCAAGTACAACAATAACATTCACATTCCCTGGTTCCTCAGTCACTATTACACTGTACACTTCATTCTGTTCACTCCAAAAACCATTCATGTCCCAGAAGAAACCCAGTTCATCAGTTAGCTGTTAGGAAAACCTGCTAAACACAGATGTCTTCACAAGTGATGGCAACACGCTGACTCTCAACAATTTGGGATTTTGCTGTTACCATTAATAATCTCTTTATAATGCATTATTCTAATATATAAAAAGTCAGGGTCCATAACATCCAAAACTTCCAAAGGCTCGACTGACTGCCCGTTGCTGCAGGCACTGTGACCCAGCACTGATTGCCGAGGGGGCTGTGGATCAGGCCCAAAGAGAGGTCTGGAGAGAGAACCAGAGTGTGATCCGTAACCTCTGTGGAAGCTGTTGATCAGCTCTTGCTTCTCTTTCTTTTGGGGCCTGGCAAGCAGCCATGCCTCTCTTTCTCTAGGGCTTCCACTGGGGCTACTGATCAGCCCCACCTCTCTGATCAGGCCCATTGATAGGCCTGCATATGCTGACTGGCACAGAAATTGAATAATCAGAACCAAATCTGGGTGAAGCACGAGGAGCCAATGGTTCCTAGGAAGTGGAGCTTTTGACATGGACTGGCATAGAAACTGACCAATCAGAACCTAATCTCAGTGAACTGCGAAGGCAGAATCTAAGGTGGGGGCTGAGAAGGGGTTTTAAGGGCAACAGCTGTTTGGTGTAAGGTGTAAGAAAGTGGTTCAATTTTTTAATGATCGGTTTGGCAGTGCAGTGCATATGGCTGGCTATCAGTGCAGCATCTCCTCCTGATGAAAAAGCCCCCCTCTCTCACTTAAGCAATCCTGTCCTATATAATCTATCTATACTACTAAAAGGGTAATATGCTAATTAACAGGCCATCTTCCGGACGTCTGACTTCCTTCATGACAAAGCCATGGTGTGGGGGCCAAGGCAGAGGCCGTTAGGGGTGATCAGGCTAACAGGGAAGGGCAGTTGGGGTGAGATCAGGCCCAACAGGGGAGGGCAATTGGGGTGAGATCAGGCCTGCAGGGGAGGGCAGTGGGGGCAAGATCAGGCTGGCAGAGGAGGGCAGTCAGGGGCAATCAGGCAGGCAGGCAGAGAGGTTAGGGGCGATTAGGCAGGGAGGCAGGCAGGTGAGTGGTTAGGAGCCAGCAGTCCCAGATTGTGAGAGAATGTCTGACCGCTGGTTTAGGCCTGATCCTTTGGGCCTAAACCAGCAGTTGGACATCCCCCAAGTAATCCCCAATTGGAGAGGTACAGGCTGGGCTGAGAGAATCCCCCTTCCATGCATGAATTTCATGCACTGGGCCATTTGCGGGGTATATAAAATGTATTTAAATAGAGCTATTAAAGATCAAGGAAGCTGAAGTTGGTATAGCTTATTTATAAAGTACAGCATAGCACATCTTGAAATGGAAAATATGTAGTTTTAAATCTTAAGCCCTTTATTTACTACAATTCAAAACATGTTTATTTTTAGACATCAGTGGGTTTTGTTTTGTTGACATTTCTACTTATGCAGCTGAAAACAAGTGAGGAAAATCACATGGTGACTAACATTAACCTATCAGGATAGCAGAGCAAGTATATAGACCATTCTTCATTTGGACTAATGTTAAATCGACAGATCCGTAAAGGCTTTCTTTCTGTCTAATAATTACATGTTAACAGTCACCAAATAGCACTGAATGGGGAATCCTCTATAAATAATTAAAGGCTTTCACTTTATAAATGGAACAGTCACAACATGGAGATGGCATACATCGACTCATAGGATTTGCCCATCCTAAATTGTTCAGAGATTCAGAGAAATGGATAGTTTTTCTTATGCTGTGCAAGTGTCTCCAAATATTTGCTCATGCCCAATAAAACGAACATGTCACCCAGACACTCCTTAATCTCTATATGTGACATACAAATGGATGCATCCACCACAAACACACACTTATACAATCAGGAGATTCTGAGAATATATAAAGATGGTAAGAAACCATTTGATTCTTTGGCTATGCTCCAGTAACAAATATATATTTCTTGGCAACCCACCAATCAGTTTGTGAAATCATATGAGATCATGACCCAATAACGTCTAAGAACCTAGGCCTTGCTTTCCACGCACCATTAGGGCCTGTCACCAATCAGCAGCCGTCTCTTTCCGGCAAACATTCCTTTCTCTGCAATCATGAAACGTCCCTGGATAGAGCTGTCCTTCTCCAGAGAAACACACTTCTCAATCAGCTGCAAATCCTGATTCAAAGCTAAAATTAATGCAGGCAGGCAATTGAGGATTTTTTTTTTTTTTTAGAAAAACTTCCTTCTAAATGACAACGTATGTGATGTTAAAGCTATCCAAGATGTCCGCATGCTGCCTTATTAAATTAAAAACATCTGGTTTATTTATACAATGTGTCCAATGGCTTACAGATTAGGATTCTAGAAATAATACATGTCTTATAGCAAAAAATATACATATAATAATCCACCTGTAGTTTATATAAATGACGAAATGTTTCTGAATATATCTCTATATCTATATATGTACATGTATATACTTTGTGTGTGTGCGCAGGAGGGCACACGAACACAGTAGTCCTTCACTGGCTCTTCCACGCCAGTGTCAAGGACACCAGGTTTCAAAGTCTTTAGCTGCTGAACAGAGGTCACCGCTGAGGACAAAGGACTGGCTTGATGCACCTTCCCCGGTGAAGGACCAGGTTGGCGGGACAGTGGCAGCCCGCAACGCATGGCTTATTGCACGGACCAATCTCATTCCAGTTGTCACAGGTCTTGACACATCCTGGGCCGCAGGTGTCATACACAGCCCCGTGCTTACACTGGGTGGCTGGAAGAAAGGAGGAGACAAAGGTGAGATGTGGTGAAATGGCCTCATTAGTTCATCCACAGCCTGATCCATCCTGCAGGCTCATGTCACTCACGGCCCAGGCCTTTCCACAACACTGGATCACTTTTGCATTTTAAAAACCTTTATTGTTGAAAGTAATGCAGGTGTCTCCCTTTTAAAAAAAAATAATAAATCTTTATTGTTCAGATTATTACAATTGTTTCTCTCCCCCTCCCCCCCATAGCTCCCCTTCACCTGTTCCCTACTCCACCGTCTGCCCTTACCTACCCATCCCCCCACACACCCTACTGTCCTCATCCATAGGTATATGATTTCTGTCCAGTCTTTTCCTGTACCCTCCACAGACACCTCTTTCCCCCTGAGAATTATCAATCCCATTCCATGCCCCTGATTCTATTATGTTCACCCGTTTATTCTGTTCCTCAGATTTTTAATTCACTTGACTTTTAGATTCACTTGTTGATAGATATGTATTTGTTGTTCATAATGTTTATCTTTACTTTTTTCTTCTTTTTCCTCTTTTTATCTTTAGCTTTTTCTGATCTGTGAAGCTTTTTATCTGCCCTTCAATTCTGAATGAAAACTGCTGGGTAGAGTAAACTTGGTTGTAGGTTCTTGCTATTCATCATTTTGAATATTTCTTGCCCCTCCCGTCTGGCCTTCATAGTTTCTGTTGAGAAATCAGTTGATAATTGTATGGGTGTTCCCTTGTAGGTAACTAACTGTTTTTTTCTCGTTGCTTGTAAGATTCTCTCTTTGTCTTTTGCTCTTGGCATTTTAATTATGATGTGTCTTGGTGTGGTCCTCTTTGGATTCCTTTTGTTTAGGGTTCTGTGTGCTTCCTGACTTGTAAGTCTATTTCTTTCACCAGGTGCGGGAAGTTTTCGGTTATTATTTCTTCAAATAGGTTTTCAGTGTCTTGCTCTCTCTCTTCTTCTGGCACACCCATAATACTGATGTTGGTAAGAAGCCTCTGAGACAACTTCAAATGTACCAACATCAGGTGTCTCCTTTTATCCCCTGTTCACTGCTTCTAATCTGCTCCCCCCCCCCCCCGCCCCAGGCCTTCACCACACTATTTTCTTTGCCCATGGATTATGCATATATGCATATATGCATATAAATTCTTTGGTTAATCTCTTTTCACCCACCCGCTCTGAGATTCAGACTTTTGAATTTTAACAAAGGAATAATGAACACCAATCATTCCACAAACACTCTGGGATCACCGGCACCTAAAAAAAATAACATCAAAGATCCAGCTGCTGGGCTAGTGAACTTTAAAATAAAATAAAATGAAAGCTTTTTGTTCCAAGTTAAGACAAACTATATATTAGTAAAGCTATAAGGAAATCTATAAGGTCATTTAGTTACTGATAATACTGTGAAAAATGAACTCCAAAGAGTCCTCTTAGCAACTGAGCTGTGATGAATACAAATATTTTGTGCAAATATACCAATATTCAAATAAACACAATTACACAACAGGAAAAAAAATCTAACAAAGATATTGGAAATGTGTTAACATATTTTAATCATATTTTAATTATGTGTTGAATTAATCAATTTGAGGAAAGTTAGAGCAAGAGTAAAGCTAAATATATCTGGTAATGGGATTACTATCCAGTCTTTATAAAAAACTAATGCAACTCATCACCAAGAAAACAAAGAATCCAATTTAAAAAAATGGGCAGAAGACCTGAATAGATACTTATCCAAATAGGATAAGATACTTATCCAGATGGCCAATAGACATATTAAAAGATGTTCAACATCATTAATCAAATGCAAATCAAAACCAAAGTGAACTATCACCTCACAAATGTCAGAAAGGCTACAAACCTTTAAGGCTACATCAATAAGTCAACAAACAACAAGTGTTGGCAAGGATGTGGAGAAAAGGGAACCCTCATGAACTGTTAGTGGGAATGCAGATTGGTGCATTCATGATGGATGGTTCCTAAATATAATGGTCTCATGACTCAGTGATTCTGCTTTTGGGTACTCATCACAAATTCAAAGGGATATATGCACTTCTATGTTCATTGCAACATTATTTACAATAGCTGACATGTGAAAACAACTCAAGTACCCATCAGTAGATGAGTGGATTAAAAAGCTGTAGTTCAATGGATTACTTGGCCATAAAAAAGAATGAACTATCTCTAATTTGTGACAGCATGGAAGGACCTAGCGGGTATTATGCTAAGTGAAATAAGTCAGACAGAGTAAGCTAAATGCCATATGATTCCACTTACAGATGGCATCTAAAGAGCAAAATAAATAAGGAAACAACATAGAAACAGACTCATAGGTATGGAGAACAGACTGATGGTTGCCAGAATAGAATGGGGTTAAGGGACTGGATGAGAAAGGTGAAGAAATTAAGAACTACTAATTGGTAGTTACAAAATAGTCCCAGGGATATAAATTATAGCATAGGGGATATCATTAATAATATTGTAGTAACTATACTGCCAGGTGGGAACCTGAAGTATTGGGGAGGGAATTTTGTAAAGTATGATTGTCTAATGACTATCATGTACACCTGAAACTAATAAAAATAATATTGAATGTAAACTGTAATTTAAAATAAAACTTATCAAAAGAATAAAGCCAGATAGGGGGAAATCAGATGTACCAACATGTAATAAAAGTAGTACCAGCAGAGTCCTGGGGTCTGGAGGTACTTAGAAATTGGTAACTCACATATTGCATTGTATTTGGTAATTCACATGCTACACTGGAGTCCAATTAGTCCTTCCTCCCACAGCTAGTGGCCATGTGCGTTGGGTTGGTAGTCACGATACTATCAAAATCCAGGCTACACTTGGGAAGTCCCTCATTTGTTCAGAGTTTCAAACTGGCTGGCTTCTTATCTGTTCAACTCCCAAGCTTTTTACTCTGTAAAATTCCTTCCTCTGGGAGCTAAAAACAAGGAAAGAGTGTTCTTCTAGTGTTCAGAATTCCAGATGAGTCTACTGAGGGATGCTGCATGTCTCCGTAAATTTCTCACGTACCGGCTATCAATCAGCAGAAGTTCATAATGTGTGTGTGTGTGTGTGTGTGTGTGTGTGTGTGCGTGTGTGCGTGTGTGTGTGTGTGTGTGAATCTACAGAGATTCATAGTGTGTGTGTGTCTGAGTGTGTGTGAATCTACAGAGATTCATAGTGTGTGTGTGTCTGTGTGTGTGTGAATCTGCGGAAGTTCATTGTGTGTGTGTGTGTGTGTGTATGTGTGTGTGTGTGAATCTATAGAGGTTTATAGTGTGTGTGTGTGTGTGTGTGTGTGTGTATGTGTGTGTGTGTGTGTGTGTGTGTGTGTGTGTGTGTGAAAGGCTCCCCTGCAGCAGCCCATTGATGGAGCTATACTTCACTCAGATGGCTCCATAATTGTAAGTGGGAAATGAAACCTTTCAGGACCCATATTCCTTTTCCATTAGAAAAGTAAATTTAGCTTCTGAGATTCAGCCCCTGAAATCAGGATGCTGACACGAAATGCGTAGCCTTCAAAAGCAATGTGTGTGCTGAAATGGTGCTAACTATAGCTCTGGGCCAGGAAGAGTTCATAGATTCTGTATCTAATACAATCCTCACCACAGCTAGCAAATCCGCCAAGTTCTGCTGAGCCCAGCATTTCACAGGCTGGGTGGAGGGGGCTTGACTCCCTATCTGTTATTCATCCTTTGATCGATGAGAGGGCAGCGGGTCTCAACATAGAGAAGGAGCATTCAGTAGTTGTGCTTAAGATGTACCGAAGGGACCCAGTCCCCCCAAAACATTGCCCTCATGAAGCTAACCCTCACTGATGCTTCAGGGAAGAGGTGAGCCAGGGAGTTTCACCTCAGGAGCCTCTGCCACAGCTCAGTACGAGCTATTTTTCATCAAATCCACATACCTCCGAGATGCAGGCAGCACTAAGAGAGGTGCTCAGGCAGCGGGAAGTGAACTGAGACATAAAGACTGGACTTGGGTTTGCAGAGGAGGGAGCACACCCACAGGGGACATTAAAAGAGATGAAAGGGTCTTGGTGCTTTGCAAGGACACAGACTCATGACTGCATCAGGGGTGGCTGGAGGAGGCTTTAGTAACCTCCACACACCCTCCAGCTACTCCCCCAGAGCCACCCACCTAAGCATATGCTGTCACATTAACTCAGTGGTTTCAGCTCTGGCTGCAGGTCAGAGCCACCTGAAAGGTTTTAAAAGACACACAAGGCCAATCAAAGCAGGCTGTCTGGGCTGGGGGTCCAGGCATAGGTTTCTGGGTCTGTGTTGTTTTAAGCTTCCAAAGTGACCCAAGGTGCAGCCAAACTAGGACCCACTGGCCTAAATGAACAAGAGATCCACACACTGAAAACACAGCTTCCAGACGATTCTTTCCTGCATCACGCCGACCATTCTCAGCAAGCACTTAGTGTAGGTTACCACTGCTGTCTGGCTCTCCATGGGACTGCCAGCATCTCAATGACAGGGGGGTCACGTCACCAAAGTGCCCACTGTGCTCAGCACGATGCCCAGTGCACAGCCACGTTGTGGGAGGTAGTGCTTGGGTGAACATTTTACACACAGCAAAGAAGCGGATGACCTTGCCTGAGATCAAAGAACTGAAACATCTATGATAGAAATCTATCTCGGCAAAGGAACATTCTGCTAGGGTTTGCAGCACAATCTTTATCTCAAAAAAATAAAATAAAATAAAATCTCAGCTACCCTAAAGACCTTAACTGCAGTTATCCTGAGTCTGTGTTGCCCCACACAGACCCCAAGCACAGCTGTGACCGTCCATGTGACATCCAGCTGGCAGCTTGAGGCTGGGGGGTTGTGAAACAAAATCCTTCAATTGCTCAAACCTGCGCCTTTCAGAGCATCTCTCTTGTGTGCTTTCTGTCCTGCCCCTCGTGGGAAGCCCCTGTGTTTTGTCAAGGTGCCATCCAGCTGGGCCACTGCCGGGATTTCCCTTCGGCCCAGGCGGGATGTGTCCATTCACGCCCCCAAGTCTCCCCCACAGGAAGACTGAGCAGGAAGGTGAGCTTCTGATGGGGGGGCCCAGAACCGCTCACCTGCACAGCTCTGCTGGGGCTCCCAGTGGACGCTGACGCCCTCGCGTTGGCAGGCCCGGGTGTACGCCAGGAATGACTCGCAGTAACAGTTCTTATGGACTGGACACTCACACATGTCTGTCACACAGGACCTGCGGGACCAAGAGGAAGAGAAACATTCAAGAATATCCAACACCCTACACGTGACTTGCAGCAAGGGGTGAGGGGTGAGTGGGGAAACCTGACTGGCCACTGCAGGCTGCTGTTTTAGGTTGGATGCCTAAAACTGGAATGGCAATTCTGCACAGCTCTCTCCCAACAGCAAGGCTGGAGAGCTCCTTGCTCCTGGAGCAGGAGGTTCCGCAGGGAAAGCCATGCTCTGGGTTCTCCTCTATCCAGAGCAGCAGCCACTGTCATCCCTAATTAGCAAGCAGTGGGAATGCATCAGGGTGACTGAGGAACTGAACTCTCTCTCTCTCTCTCTCTCTCTCTCTCTCTCTCTATATATATATATATATATATATATATATATATATATATATATATACACATATATATAAATTGATATTTTATAGAGTGGAAAGGAGAGAGATAGAGAGCTAGAAACGTTGATGAGAGAGAAACATCGACCAGCTGCCTCCTACATACCCCCTACTGGGGATGTGCCCACAACAAGGTACATGCCCTTGACCAGAATCGAACCTGGGAACTTTCAGTCCGCAGACCGACGCTCTACCACTGAGTCAAACCGGTTTCAGCCAGGAACTGAACTTTTTATTTTATTCTATAGTCAGGTTGTTTAAACTTACATTTTCAAGTGTTTTTATTGCTGTCAGAGAGAGAGGAAAAGAAAGGGAGAAAGAGAGAGAAACATCAATGATGAAAGAGAATCATCTATCAGTTGCCTCCTGCACACCCCCTACTGGGGATGAAACTGCAACCTGGGCATGTGCTCTGACCAGGAATCAAACTATGACCTCCTGGTTCATGGGTCAATGCTCAACCATGAAGCCACACTGGCTAGGCTACTTGATTTATTTTTAATTAACTTAGATGTGAATTGCCACATGTGCCTAGGGGTTATCACGATGGAAAGGCAGCTTTTTGAACATAGTTGCTGTTCAAGGTATTGTCCTTTTGTGACTAGCTCTGATACGGGAATAGTAGGCACTACTGCAATGGAACCGAAAAGGTGACTGGGGGAGAAAGCACAAAATCCCACAGCAATATTTTGACTCTTAGTCTCTTAAGAAACACTGAACTCCATTTTTAAGAAGGTGGTGTGACAAATTCCAAAGAAAGCAAAACTTCTGGCCACCCAATAAGACTGAAAGGAAAAGAGGACCGAACCAAGGTCTCTTAACTTAACTTGAAATATGGGACGATGCGCCAGGACATAAAGAGAACAGAAATATGTTTAACACATTCAGCACCCAGTCGGTCGCTGGTGACTGACACTGTACTTTCTGTCCGGAAGACAAAATAGGCTGGGCGCTTAACATGTTAAATGCAAAAGTAACGAGTGTTAAGGCATGTTAACCTCAAAGACCCAATAATGACCTGCCCTTGGCCTGGGACAGTACAATTCATGAGGTGCAGTCTGTCCCTGCGAGGCAATAGGACATGGGACAGTCACTCTCAGTGAAACGAAGAGGTCCTTGAACCAGTGAGTAGATGAGCGCACAATCACATGAATAAGTGGCAAAAGAATGAGTTAAATTACACTTCCTACCTCTAGCCTAGTGCTCCCCTTTTTTTTTTTTTTTATCAGACTATACACCGTTCTCAGCCTTCGCCTTCCAGCAAGTTCCCTGCCTAGCAACTCTGACTCAGCATTTATGCAAGAGGCCTCCTAGATGAATAAAATACAACTACCCTTATTTTGTCAGACTCTTTACTCAGCAAAACCTCTTCCTCACAGGAGCGAGTTCAAGATGACAAATCGCACAGATAATCTTAAAAAGTGATCAGGATTGACTCTTAGTCTCATAAGTGGTCAGGGTGCACACGGTCACCCAGTGTTAACATGTCACCATTTTTTCCTGGTGGGACATGTCTGCACACCTGGTCAGAGAGTGACCAGCCAGCTCTACCGCCTGCTCTGAACGAGAATGAAAGGACCACAGACTCACCAGGCACCCCCAAAGTTACTGCAGCCCAACACTCAAGGGCAGGGTCCTGGGAAACATGAACTAACACGGGCAAGAGAGGAGCAAACTGGAAACCCAGAGAGCCTCTTTCACGTCACAGGCGAAAGATCATGTGATGACATACTAATTGGCACAGAAGCACTGATCTCTCTCTTCTCTGTCATCATCAAGGCTGCATTTCTTTTCTTTTCTTTGCTTTTCTTTTCTTTTTTCAATATATTTTATCGATTTTTTACAGAGAGGAAGGGAGAGAGGTAGAGAGCTAGAAACATAGATGAGAGAGAAACATCGACCAGCTGCCTCTTGCACACCCCCTACCAAGGATGTGCCTGCAACCAATGTACATGCCCTTGACCGGAATCGAACCTGGGACCTTTTAGTCTGCAGACCAACGCTCTACCGCTGAGCCAAACCGGTTTTGGCAAGGTTACATTTCTTAATAAGCTTCTCCCACTTGCATTACAGAGTTCCTGAGAAATCATGTTCACTGGCAAAACCTTTCTGGGACAAGACATATTATAACAGTGCTGTGTCTTTAAGTCTATGTGGAGCCTCCAGGATTTCATTTCTGACTAACCCACACCCATCACGTGCAAGCTCAGACTCCATGGCGACACTTGCAGAAGCTCTGCCCCGGGATCTCCCATCTAACCCCATTTCTACTTCCCTTCCCCAGGAGGCACTTGTCCCACCCTCCTTCCTGACCCTTGGGATGGAGGTCCCTTTCCCTTGTCCACAAACCCTTGAGGTGACATCGATGGAGGGGCACCTCGTGGGCCTGGAAAAAGGACAGTATTTGTATGGAAAAGAACTGGTCTCCACAGGAGCAGATGCAGCCTCCGATTTGAAAACCACCCATGGTGGTTCTGTGGAGGCATGTGGACAGGAAACAGATTCAGTTTACATGTTTTCTGGGTGGAAGGACTGCTGGGGAATGCTTTCCTTCTTTCCTCTTCATTCCTACTGGTGTCTCAGGAAGCTATTTATTCCGGTTACAATGAAGTGTAGGCAGCTAAATCCCATTCCTGGAGACTGTTGAGAGAACATGGCTTAGGCACACATTTAATAACTACCTGTACAGACACCCAGTGTGTCCTCACACACTGAGTCCTCACACACAATCTCTGACTGTCTGCCCTTGACAATGAGGAAGACCAGGAGATGGGAGCAACCTGGATTACTTGGCGCTCGTGATGGACAATGTTTGAGGCCAAAAACGTTTGTCAAAGCCAGCCCTTCGCTCGAAATATTTCACACATTTTGGAGGGTTTAAAAGATGTGTTTTATTTTTTCACAGAAGTTAAAACACAAGATGTCTTTTCACTTGTCAACTTGACAATTTTTACACAAACTTGTGCCCAGGGTCTGGGAGAGAATGTGGAAATCGACAGTCAAAACCCTGAGGGCAGCAGGGTGACACTGTGAGCTCAGGCCAAGTCCCTTCTTCCTGGCTGCCCCCTCACCGCCTTGCCCCATCCCACATGCCTTTATTCTCACACAGACCCTCCCTGTTTGTGGGAGGACAAGGATGTCTCTGGCTCATCCAGCCACACGCTGCACATCGACAGAAGACCGGGCAGGAACGGCCTAGTGACCAATCCTCGCATCCTCAGTCTGGAACGCTGGGCACAGATGTTGTTTCCCGGATGCCCTGGCGGCCGCCCAACCTGGCCATGGCCCTGGGTGCTGCCGGCTGCAGCCACTTCTGAACTAAGCCCCTTCTCCCAGGGCCTTCTACTGCCAGGTTCACTCTGAAGTCTGGTCCTGCTCTTCTGAGTCCAAGGGGATGTACGTTTTTTCATTAATGGATGGTGGGAAAAGGGTCTGGATGCGAGAATTCTGCTCTCATGACACATTTTCAGAAAAGTACATTCAATATTGTCAGAATAACCTATAGAGCTCCCTGTTATTAAAGAGGCAAGCCTCCCATGCTGCTAAAATCAAAACATCCAACATCTCTCGGCTGCCTAGCAACAGCATACCGGGTGGTTCTGCCTCTGCTTTTCCTGGCACAAGGGCCACCCTGTCGGGGCTCTGCAAGCACTCAGGCCTTGGATGCCAGACACAGTCTGAGCCGTTGGGAATGCTCCACGCGGCTTTTGGGAGAAGAGAAAGCCAAGCAGGAGTGAGGGCAGCAGCCCTGTCCACAGCCAGAGGCCACTGCCCAGGAAGAGCCTGAGGCTGGATGGCGTGAGGTCACCTTTTCTGGGAGCTACAGTAGACTCGGGGCTGGAGGTGACACACAATCACTGCCTCTCCTTATGGCGCGTTCCAGCGAAGGTCACAGACCCCTGTGGAGGCACCTCAGGCCTGTTAGCACCTGGCACAGATCGGGAAGACGGGAAGGACCGGAGAGGCAGAGTCCCGCCTGGGTGAACACAGCATGTTTAACCTCCAAGAACCTACAAAAAGAGTCACTTATACTTTAACCCTTGACATTCTGCCCTGACCTCCCTGGCCGGAGTTGCAGGGAAGTAGCTGGAGGGAGTAAGCACAGGAAGAAGGCAGATCCATGTTACATGACCCCTCGGAAGGTCACTCCATCCCTAACCAGCAGTGGCTGCCTCTGCCTCCTCCTTAGTTCTCTGTGGGCACCCGGCACATGCAGCAGAAACAGCGTTCCAGCCCTAAAAGCAGGGCCAAACGTGCAATGCTGAGAAACTGGGGTCGCTTCATTGAGTTGTTCGTGAGGAGGGAGCAAGCCCACAGAGCCCCAGTATGGAGTCCCTGCTGATCATTCCAGACCCTTCCTGGCCAGCCCCTTGGCACCTTTGGAGCTTGCATGTTGGTGAGAACATCCAACAGCAGGCATTGGCTGCAGCCTCGGTTCTGTGGCTGCCGGGGCTGCTGGGACAGCACAGCAAGGCCAGGCTGCTGGGTGGGCTTGTCCCTTTCACACACTCAGCCGAGTCAGCGTGTCTCTGGCCGGAATACTGAGCCTACCTGCAGTCCAGCCTCACCAAGGGCCCTGCACAGACATGCACCAGGTTTCCCACAGGCCA